ACTCGTTGCTGCTCTTTCACCCATCTTACCGAGAGCCTCACATGCACTATTTCTGACCCTGAAATCCTCGTCGTCAAGTGCCCTCACAAGTCGATTAATCACATCACTCGTTGCTGCTCTTTCACTCATCTTAACGAGAACCTCACATGCCCTACTTCTGACATAAGAATGCTCGTCGTCAAGTGCCCTCACTAGTCGATTGATCACCTCACTCATTGGTGCTTTTTCACCCATCTTACCGAGAGCTTCACATGCACTGATTCTGATGTAGAAATTCTCGTCGTCAAGTGCACTTACAAGTCGATTGATCACTTCACTTGTTGCTGCTCTTTCACTCATCCCACCCAGAGCCTCACATGCGCTATTTCTGACCCTGAAATCCTCGTCGTCAAGTGCCCTCACAAGTCGATTAATCACATCACTCGTTGCTGCTCTTTCACTCATCTTAACGAGAACCTCACATGCCCTACTTCTGACATAAGAATGCTCGTCGTCAAGTGCCCTCACTAGTCGATTGATCACCTCACTCATTGGTGCTTTTTCACCCATCTTACCGAGAGCTTCACATGCACTGATTCTGATGTAGAAATTCTCGTCGTCAAGTGCACTTACAAGTCGATTGATCACTTCACTTGTTGCTGCTCTTTCACTCATCCCACCCAGAGCCTCACATGCGCTATTTCTGACCCTGAAATCCTCGTCGTCAAGTGCCCTCACAAGTCGATTAATCACCTCACTCGTTGCTGCTTTTTCACCCATCTTAACGAGAACCTCACATACACTACTTCTGAAATAGGAATGCTCGTCATCAAGTGCACTCACAAGTCGATTGATCACCCGAGTCGTCGCTGCTCTTTCACTCATCTTACCGAGAGCGTAACATGCACTATTTCTGACCGTGAAATCCTCGTTGTCAAGTACCCTCACAAGTCGATTGATCACCTCTCTCGTTGCTGCTTTTTCACCCATCTTACCGAGAGCCTCACATGCACTACTTCTGACATAAGAATTCTCGTCGTCAAATGCCCTCACAAGTTGATTGATCACCTCACTCGTTGCTGCTTTTTCACCCATCTTACCGAGAGCCTCACATGCACCACTTCTGACATAAGAATTCTCGTCGTCAAGTGCCCTCACAAGTCGATTAATCACCTCACTCGTTGCTGCTTTTGCACCCATCTTAACGAGAGCCTCATATGTACTACTTCTGACATAAGAATTCTCGTCGTCAAGTGCACTTACAAGTCGATTGATCACCTCACTCATTGCTGCTTTTTCGCCCATCTGAACGAGAGCCTCACATGCACTACTTCTGACTCTGAAATCCTCGTCGTCAAGTGCCCTCACA